GCATTCTTGCACGCTATGTTGTTCCTGGGAGACACCAACTAGAGCACATGGCTGCAGCGAAGAGGGTGTTGCGCTACTTGTGCAGTACGTCGGGCATGGGGCTAGTGCTTGGAGGGCGGAGTCCAGTGGTCCTCACTGGCCACGCAGACGCTTCTTGGGCTGACGACCAGGCTGTGCAGCGGTCGTCCCAGGGTTACACCTTCAGCCTTGGTTACGGCTCTGTTTCGTGGCGGGCTACTCGCTTGTTTTCTGTTCTCGGCTCTAGTTGTGAGGCTGAGATCTACGCCGGGGCCATGGCTGTACAGGAGCTTCGCTGGCTCACCTACCTGCTGACCGACCTTGGAGAGCCGCCTCGTTCTCCTCCAGACCTGTACGTAGACAACAAGGCCATGCTGGCCTTGTGTCGAGAGCAGAGACTGGAGCACAGAACAAAGCACATTGCTCTCCGCTACTTCCTTGCTCGTGAGCTACAGCAGCGTGGTCAGTTGCGGCTTGCGTACGTGGCCTCTGAGGCCAACACTGCTGATGTTTTCACCAAGGCACTTCCGCCTTGTGATCATCAGCGCTTCTGCACTCAGCTGGGTCTTGTCCCTGTCTTGCCTCACTTGCTCACCCCTTGACCTTGTTTGTACTGTTACAGATACATATACCTGCTCTTGCTTGTCTAGCCTTATATATATATATATATATATATATATATATATATATATATGTAGTCCTGCATGTGAACTGGCCTTATGGCCTTGAACTTGTGCTCGGAATGTGTGGTGACTTTGTGATCCACCCTGGACTTGCTTTGCTTTGCTTTGCTTGACTGGTCTTGTGACCCCTTGTTCTCCCCCACTTTGCCTATGGGGGTGTGTCAGAACATATAGCTTATACATTTGTGTAGGCTGTAGTGGGGTGGTCCATATGGGGTACAACCCAATTAGGGTTAGTACCTGTATCCAACTCTTTCATAGTTGAATCATTCTCGTTTCATTTTTCTGAGCAGATGACCTATCCAAGCTGCAAGATCATGACGACTACTCCCTACACGCGCCCTGGTTTCGCCTTCTAGACCGTCGTTGGGGGCCCCACACAATTGATCTATTTGCCAACGCCCGGAACAAACAAGTTCAGCGCTTCTGCTCCAAGATACCGCATCCCGACGCGTTCGCTGTCGATGCATTTTCCATTTCTTGGAAAGGCGAGAGATGCTTTGCCTTCCCGCCGCCACACCTAGTTCCCGCTACACTTCGCCATGCCGAACTCACGCACGCGGAACTCACGCTGGTCGTTCCCCTGTGGACCGGGGCGTCATGGTGGCCGCTTCTCCAACCGTCCACCCAAGCGTGGGCCCCAGTTGTAGTGGCACACTTTGTTATTGCCCAAGGCGGTCAATGCCTTCGGGCAGGTTCACACACCACTGCATTTTCTGGTCTCGGATTGCCTCATAGCCCAATCATTGCTTTGCGTGTAAACTATGCAATCTAATACAATCCATTAATGTGTCATTTCAGGACTGTTGGGCAAACTACAGAAACAACTTATGCACGTAATTAATCACGTTCGCGCACCATCTACAATCGAGACGTACCAACCTTATTGGCAGAGATTTCGCACCTTCTGTACCGAAGTCAAGCTTGACTTCCTACCGGCAACCGACCTGACGCTAGCGTTGTATCTCATCCATGCGCTCAACAATAAGGCAACTCTCTCCGCGATAAACCTCACATGTTCGGCAGTGGCCTTCGCCCACCGCATGACAGGCCAAGCCTCCCCCACGATCGGACCATTCACCCTGCAAGTGCGAGAGTTCGCCAAAAGACATGATCCCCGGCCTGCCAGGACCAAAGAACCAATATCTCTCCATCAAGTGCACGACATGGTCCGTCCCTTCCTCGAATCATCGATTCCTTCGGAATACCAGAAAGGATTGATTCCTCTTCTCATGTTTTCGGCGTTCTTGCGCGACTCTGACCTAGTATCGCTCCAGTAGAATGATGTACACTTCGAGGAGAAGGCAATGTGGCTGCTCATCCCACACTCCAAGACGGACCAGGAAGGGAGGGGTGTCTGGATCCTAGTGGCAGCAATTTCCGGCCCATACTGCCCAGTGCGGTGCACACGCAATTTCATACGTATCGCAGGCCTCACAAAGGTGCCCCATGGACCGCTAATAAGGGTTTTTCCAAAGAACTCGCAAGCCACGCCGGACAACAAATCGCCGTCCTACGTCACGATCAGAAACTGGTGTCTCGCGGCCGGCAGGCAGGCTGGACTGGATGTCGCGCACATCGGAACCCACTCGTTCCGCAAAGGCGCAGCCACTGCGGCGGCAAGCCTCGGAGTTCCTGACCGGCTCTTCAAACGCATGGGCCGATGGCGCAGCGACGGCGCGAAGGAGATGTACGTTACAATCGCGCAGGATCAGCTCATCTTCCTCTCCACGCAGTTGCAAGATCCTTCGGCGGCTCCTTCACACGCCACGCACCAGCTATCAATCGAACGGCACCGCCAGCCCCGTCTGCACTTGCCTCAGAAGACCCATATGAAATGATAACGTTGCCTTTGCAAGTCAGCCTAAGTAGACTTTCACAATATGATAATTTTTGAAAGTGTGATGAAATGTAACACTTTCTAAAATTTTGTACTGAGAAAGCTTGCTTTCTGTTTCTTGCAAGGCAACGTGCTTCATTTCAACTGGGGCAATTACATCATTCTCGTCCAACTAAAACATTACATAGAGATCAACTAGGGGCAGGTGGGGGGGGAAGCGGAACTGTAAAGTTCCGAAATGAAGACGTGGGTGGAGGCCAAATGGCCTCCAACCCTCGTTATGTACTCGGGAATATGCATTTGCAGTTGCCTTGCTTCACTACAGTCAGCTGCGCTTTCAAAATATACATTTTTAGAAAGTGTTTAACACTTTCAAAAAATTTCATATTGAGAAAGCTTGCTTTCTGTTTCTTGCAAGGCAACGTGCTTCATTTCAATTGGGTCTTCTGAGACATGTGCGTCCGTAGACGAAGTGCGAATGGCGAAGGCTGGTTGATAGCGACGTCCAGTGAGGTTGATTGTCAATGACGGTCGTTGCACTCCATGTCGACGAGGTCATGCGAGTTGCTCCTTCCTTGAGGTAGATGATTGTGCCGAGGGTTGTCGGTGGATTGGAGGGTTGTGGTTTGAAGTGATTGTTGTGCTGGCGCATGAGGTGGAGAAGGTGGTGACGGCCCATGTGTAAGTCATTAAGTTGCCACCGTTGCGTAAAGACTGATGCCGCTATGTCCGTGTTTTGTGGAGAATAATGAGGTGTAGGGTCAGTAGCTGTCGCAGTCGTGAAACTGGAGGTGACATACCAAAATTCGAGGATTGGTGCCATTTGGCTACGTCAATAACTGATGCGGTAGTGGTGGGCTTGACATACAAAGTTAAACAACATCGAAGTAGATATTTGCAATACGACACATTGCAATCTGTCCAGGGTGCATAATGATCTTGTATGAATAAAGGCGCATAAGTCACAGATGAATACTTGAATAAGGGGAGGTAGAACGGACGTTGTCGTAACGAGTGACATTTCATAGTTGCGATTGCACTCCCAAGACATAGGAGCGAAAGAGCCCAGAATCAGGTCTATTCGTAGTGGAGTGGCCGATGTTGAATGATTATGCCTACCAGAGCAGTGCGCCATGTCTCGTTTGCAAGATTTGTAGATCCAAAGAAGTATGGGTTTGTAAAAATATTACTGCATAACAATACGCATTGTAAGAGGGCTTGATGAAGTGCCTCCAATTGTGGGTTACTGGCGCATCAATTGCTCATCTCTTGGCACATCGGCTTCTCATCTCTTGGCCCGTCGGTTGCTCATCGCTCGGCCCGTCGGTAATTCGTCTCTTGGCCCGTCGGGTACTCGTCCCTTGGCTTGTCGGTTGCTCATCACTTGGCTCGTTCGTTGCTCCTCACTTGGCCAATCAGTTGCTCATCGCTTGGCCCATCGGTTGCGTCTCTCATGGCCCTTCGGTTGCTGATCGCTAGGCCCGTCGGTTGCTCATCTATTTGCTCGTCGCTTGCTCTTCTCTTGGCCCGACGGTTGCTCACCTCTTGGCTCGTCGGTTGCTCATCACTTGGCCCATCGGTTGCTCATTTCATGGCCCTTCAGTTGCCCATCGCTTGGCTCTTCGGTTGCTCATCGGTTGCTCATCATTTGGCCCGTCGGCTGCTCATCTCTTGGCTCGTCAGTTGCTCATTGCTTGGCCCGTTGGTTGCTCCTCGCTTGGCCCGTCAGTTGCTCATCGCTTGGCCCGTTGGTTGCACCTCGCTTGGCCCATCGGTTGCTCATCGCTTGGCCCGTCGGTTGCTCATCGCTTGGCCCGTCGATTGCTCATCTCTTGGCCCATCGATTGCTCATCGCTTGGCCCGCCGGTTGCTCATCTCTTGGCCCATCGGTTGATTATCGCTTGGCCCGTCGGTTGCTCGTCTCTTGGCCCGTCGGTTGCTCGTCTCTTGGCCCCTCGGTTGCTCATCTTTTGGCCCATCAGCTGTTGATCTCTTGGCCCGTCAGTTGCTCATCTCTAACTGATACCGTAACATGACGGTCAGTCAAGAAAAAACAGCAAAATTTGCATTGGCTGCCCTGCCACACCATGTTATGGCAGTCCCATAGCTCCATTCAATAACGAATGTTGTTGAAGCGCGAACCATCAACGGTAATGGAATGCAAGGTACATTGAGTTTTGGTAAATGTTTTACTTTTCCATTTGGTATCTTGTCTGGTGTGACACAACAAGATAGGAGTGAATGGTTGAAGCACACTCCCTCCCCTCCTCCCTCCTTTGGGAATGTCCAGTGTGGGGGAGTGATCAGTAACACCAAATCCAATGCCGTACCCATCCTTGCTATCAACAGGTAGTTTCACTCAACCAATCTTACCATAGTCAGTCGAATCAGTGTACGACTTTAAACGGCTTTTAAGTCAGACTTTTTTCACTATATTCAGGTCTTAAACAAAATAGCCAATGATACCTACATATCAACAAACACGTTACATAGTTGGGGTTTTCCACATCTCAGCTACAGTCCCCATGTCCCCCTTCTCTAAGAAGGTGGCTCTTTGGCCAGCGTACCTTCGTAAGTACATACACACGGGTCTTGGTCCCCTGTGCCCCCTGGGAAACGGCTCTCAGGCCATCTTGAGGGGGACCCTCGGTGGGGGCGACTCTCAGGCCAAATTGGGGACCATCTGTCCCCTTCCCCCCTTGGGGGCGGCTCTCAGGCCAACGTGGGGGCCCTCGGTCCCCTTCCCCCCCTGGGGGCAGCTCTCAGGCCAACGTGGGGACCCTTGGTCCCCTTCCCCCCCTGGGGGCGGCTCTCAGGCCAACGTGGGGACCCTCGGTCCCCTTCCCCCCCTGGGGGCGGCTCTCAGGCCAACGTGGGGACCCTCGGTCCCCTTCCCCCCCTGGGGGCGGCTCTCAGGCCAACGTGGGGACCCTCGGTCCCCTTCCCCCCCTGGGGGCGGCTCTCAGGCCAGCGTGGGGACCCTCAGTCCCCTTCCCCCCCTGGGGGCGGCTCTCAGGCCAACGTGGGGACCCTCGGTCCCCTTCCCCCCCTGGGGGCGGCTCTCAGGCCAACGTGGGGACCCTCGGTCCCCTTCCCCCCTGGGGGCGGCTCTCGGTCCCCTCGTTTCGATGTGCGTGCAGTTGATCCTGTCGTCGTTGCAATTTTTCCGCGCGAGTAGTAGAGTCCGACTTTAAGCGGCTTTCCATCTTGTGCCCGTTTTTCTGTCATGAGGGAGTATCGATATTGATAGGCAATAAGAGAATAAATTAGAACTGGAAAGGAGAATAAGAAAATGAAAAGAACTTGAAACAATTTCTATATGCAGCTAAACAATTGGTGAGGTGGCATGGGGTGCTGTACTGGTGTACTGCCCAGTCAAACGCCTTAGGCGCGACAGTAGCAGTTTCTTGACTGCCGCGCCACTGGCCATTTCGTCCGTGGCGATTTCGCCACAGACGCGCGCCACTGGCGCAAGTGGCGACTTCGCCACACACGCGCGCAAGTGGCGATTTCGCCACACACTCGCGCCAGTGGCGCACATGGCGATTTCGCCAGACATGCGCGTCACTGGCGCACGTGGCGATTTCGCCAGACACGCGCGCCACTGGCGCAAGTGTCGAGCTCACGCCACTGGCGCACGTGGCCATTTCGTCACTGATGCGCCAGTGGCCGTTGCTTCATGCGCGCAGCTCTTTCTCGGTTGCGCGCACGCCAAATGCATCGCGGGCACGATGCTGTACCATCCGCAGTTAACGCGAGTAGCAGCTACTAAATAAATAACGTTGCTGCTGCGGCACTTGTCTTAGCGTTGACTCCGTGCTATAAGAGAGTGAGAAATAGGAACTAGTGAGAACGGAAGTAGTTGGACGAGAATGAAGCGGAACTGTAAAGTTCCGAAATGAAGACGTGGGTGGAGGCCAAATGGCCTCCAACCCTCGTTATGTACTCGGGAATATGCATTTGCAGTTGCCTTGCTTCACTACAGTCAGCTGCGCTTTCAAAATATACATTTTTAGAAAGTGTTTAACACTTTCAAAAAATTTCATATTGTGAAAAGGGGTACGTGGCCAACACAGCAAAGGTAGCGCCAAAGCGCTACTCGCCTCCTTTTGCCTACCAAAGAGGGACGTGGGGACATTCGTCTCCACCCACGTTTTTATTTCTCAATTTGTAGTTCTAATTTCCCACCCGCCCACCCCATTGTGTATGATGTTATGTAGACTTGAATATGACGAGAACGATGTACTAGAACCCATATGAAATGATAACGCTGCCTTTGCAAGTCAGCCTAAGTAGACTTTCACAATTCATGTGGATCAATACCTCTATTCTACAGTTCCGTATGACCTTTTCCAGCATTTGTTTTCTACAGTAAATGTTCGTGACTGGCTCTTCCATCTATTTCACCTCTGATTACTAATGAACACCACGCATCTCGTTCAAGATCATGGTTGTCACTCTGTATTTGAATACAGCTTTGACACAACTGAAACACACTTCAAGCAAGTGAACTGAAGATGCGTATGTACAGCCGCAACCTCACTACAGTGATGACTGTAAAACCTGAAAATGTCTCTCCCTTTAAAGCCAATGTTAGGATTGGCCAACCGTCTGTGCCTGCTCTTTGCTCCCCAAATCCAGCTCCCTCTCTAGCCCACGGTGCACACCAGCGGTATTTTCCAGCATCACCTGGGCACTCCCCCTTTCAGTGCTGCAGCTCGACTCGCCCCCGCTGCCCATAACTTCGGCTTCACCCTGAGCATCGCCGCGGTTGGATTGGCTGGCTTGGGGTTGGAGAGGCTCCGCAGGGACGCTAGGTGAGTGCACTGCAGGTGAGAGCGCTCCCTGCTGGGCTGCCAGCATGATCGGATGTGGGGTCTTTGAGCTGCTGCGGATCTCGATAAGAGCGCGAAGGGCGCTACAGGCACTGCGGTAAACCATGGCTACTGTATCGTTGTCATCAGAATCAAACTCTGCAGCGGCAGGCTCTCTGGCAGGCGTCACTTCCACTTCCTCAGCAGCAGCAGTCGGGACATCCTGGTGAAGCGTGACTACCGGATGATTGCATGCTGCACATGTAACACAGACGACAGTAGAAGATGCAAAAACGTTGACATCTATCAGACATGAGATAAAAGAATGGGATTACAGCCGCACGTGCTGCAAGTTAATAAAGTGAAGAAAGGAGACAAAGCCGTACATGATTGCTCGCTGGGCGGCAACAGCTGCTGCAGCAGCACCTCGCACTCGCTGATCAACTGCGACAACAGCTCCGTCGTGCAGAACGGCTGCAGACACGAAGGGAACCGGACGATGGACAGGTAGATGTGAGGGACGAATATGAACGGAATATAGATTGATGTGATGGGACCAATGATAGATAAGGTAAACAACGGTCAGGCCAATCACCAAGTGCGCGGAGGAAGAGGACAGAAGTGAGCAATATACCTGCTGCAGCACAGTGCGCAAGAACGGACGCAACGGGTGACTGGTGCGCTTGTCGTGCTTCTTGACAATCTTAACGAGCCCCATGTAGTTGAGCGAGCTGTAGTTCTCCAACAACACCTGCGATGTAACGACACGTCAGCACAGGAACCAGGGTGATAAAGGGAACAGTGATTAGGTAAGGAGAATGGATCGGTCAGGAACAAAGGAGCCTACGGACAGAAACGAGGTTGTCGAAATGACGAAAGAAACGAAGGGCAAGATAAGTACCATTTCACCGTGTAGCGCAACAATGGCACGGCGTATGCTGTTCACCCCGGCACTATCGGCGTTGTCAAGAAGAAATTCTTGGACGGTTCCGTCGGAAGCACTCCTTCGTGGAACCTAAGGACAGAGACGGAAAAAAGTGAGTCAGAGACACCAGTCGGTGAACGATGAATAACGGACACACTACTCCATGAAAAACGAACCTCACTGGCTATCCGCTGCTTGATGGTGTGCATGCGAATGACAAACTCCTCCTCCTTATCGGCGAAAAAGTCGTTGAACCGATCCAACTCCGACAGCAGCAGCTGCACAAACGGGTCCTCCGACGACCCGGAGAAGAGCGCACGCCTGACGATATCTGCATGACAGGGAAAAATACTAGAGTCTTGGGGATACGAGCATACGGGGAAGAACCCATATACTAGCCGAAATTCCATCGAGATGCGGTACTGGCCTTCTACATAGGGATGCACGGACAGGTCATTAATAAGATGCCTTTCGCCAAACCCTATTGAGTCGATGAATATACCTGAAGATTCATCGCACAAATCTAGCGGCTGCTCTGCCCCCTCAAGCTCGCGTTCCGGTGATTCTGCGGAAATGGTCTTCAACCGCTTCTTCAGCTCCTTGTAGCGAAGAAACTTGCCTCGCCACTCTGGCAACGTATCCTCTTCCTGATCTCTAAGCCTCTTACCGAACTTCATCCTTCCTACAGCATGCAATCTAACGTCCAAGCACCCCTAATTTAGCGCCTCTGAAAGAATAAGAACTTATGTACCACGGCTCCACGACGCGCCTGCTAAGAAAATCCCTAAAATTCGGTCATCAAGATACGTAGTATCAATTTATGGTTGGTCAAATGGAAAGGTGTGAAGTAGAAGCAGTGGACATGGACGGAGAATATTTTGCCGAAGATTCCCTTTCGTTGCTGTTCGTGCTGTGCGGGACATCAGCAGAATTATGTCATAATCATGCACTAGCAAATCGCTCTTCTTCCCCCTCCCAATTCACGCTCATGCAATCCAACGTTGCATCAAGAATTTTGGACTGTTCAGGTCTGTTACCCTGCTCGTCAGCAAGGAGTCCGTGACCAATCACAGTATGCCCAGTCACGGCGCATCTCGAAAAGTGCTGCGCTGGGTTGGTTCGGCCAGCTCCTCCGCTAAGGGAGTTGGTTGCCTTGATGTGCTCGAATCTACGTGGCATCACTTTCAGGGCCAGGTCCAGTGCCGCCCTCACCTTGGTACGGTTTTCAAGCTGCCTACACACCAGAAAGGAATATTCCTGCTGTTGGAAACCTCCACGGCCCACCTATGCGATGTAAGATGCTGCTAAGTCACCATCGCAATAAGCTTAGCAGCGAGTCATCAGCGGACACGTAGGCATTCTCCAAACAGGTGTGAAACAAAGGCAGCAGTGAATTATGGAACCAGGGGGTGGTGGGCCACCAAACCATGACAAGCCTTATCAGGACTTGTTACATTTCGCACAATCCCCGTAAGAAACCCTCAATTTACTTGAAGGGAATTAGTGTTTTGTTTACAACCCCGTATTCCAAAGTGCACGTTCGGCCTGTTTCCTTGACACACCTAAGGACACGTCACAGTTGCGACATCGAGGAGGGATGCGGTTACACACCGAAGCTGCAAGATTCGATCTCCTCTGAGCCAGATTGGTCTTCAGGTTCGATAGTTAGCGGGGTTAGAAGCCTTTTAAAAAGTTTAAAATATACTACGTAGGATTTGAGTGCGGTGACAGATAAACTGGAAGGGACATCGCGTTCGGTGACTTGGGTCTTAGCGAATTAAAACGAAAGTGGGATACAAGATACGGCGAAATACTGTATACTCGGAACATCGATCTCCGGCAGGTTCGATGTCGCAATTGTAGCGCGTCCTAAGCAACCACGCGTGGCCTTCGGCTTCCCTTTGCCCAACCTGCACCCACGCTCGTGTTTCGGCCTAGCCATGTTGGCCCGCTATACTACCCCGTGCCATTCATTGTATCGTCAGTCCATATTATTGAAAGTATACACCGTAAACACACATGCTACTGATGGTATATTCCGGCCGTGACTTGTCCAGAAAGTACGCGTCACAATCGAGTGTACCACTCTGTACAGAACTGTTACAAATAGTGATTATTAAAGCATCACTGTGCACTCCTTACTGCAGCAACCGAAGCACCCACTACCGAGAATGAAGACGAAAGGACGGAAGTGGCGAAGGGTCATACGGTTACGAAGGCATCTGAACCGTTGGGCATACAACATCAGACAGTAGCAATTGCGAGGATTCTGCACGAACGGTCTCGTAACCACATGGAGTCTCACGATAATACATGGCTAGCTAGGTCGTTTCGCATTCCCCTGTACTTATGTTTATTCATCGTATTTGCATGTTTTAATCATCTCATGAGGAAATGAGAACGAGAATGAATTGGACTATGAATGAAGTGGGTACAGGTACTAACCCTAATTGGGTTGTACCCCCTATGGGATACCCCACTACAACCTACACAAAAGCATAAGCTATAATGTTCTAACACACCCCCATAGGCAAAGTGGGGGAGAACAGAGGGTCACAAGACCAGTCAAGCAAAGCAAAGCAAAGCCCAGGGTGGATCACGAAGTCACCACACATTCCGAGCACAAGTTCAAGGCCACAAGGCCAGTTCACATGCAGGAGTACATATATATATAAGGCTAGACAAGCAAGAGCAAGTATATATATATATATATGTAACAGTACAAGAAAGGTCAAGAGGTAAGCAAGTGAGGCAAGACAAGACAAGACCCAGCTGAGTGCAGAAGCGCTGATGATCACAAGGCGGAAGTGCCTTGGTGAAAACATCAGCAGTGTTGGCCTCAGAGGCCACGTACGCAAGTCGCAACTGTCCACGCTGCTGTAGCTCACGAGCAAGGAAGTAGCGGAGAGCAATGTGCTTCGTTCTGTGCTCCAGTCACTGCGAACCAGTTCTGTACGTAGACAACACGGCCATGCTGGAACGAAGCAACATAGCGTGCGAGACTGCTAAGAGGGTATGCAAGGTCAGGTCGTGTGCAGGTCATCAGGTACATGAGGCAGCCAACAAGTGTCAGAACATATAGCTTACTTATTTCTGTAGGCTATAGTGGGGTATCCCATAGGGGGTACAACCCAATTAGGGTTTCCTATTTGTACCCACTTCATTTCATAGTCATTCACTCCTCGTTCGTACTTTCTCATGGAATCAGAGCAGGTCCCTTCCTAGGGCCTGTTCCTAGGGCCCACCGAAGCGCGCCCCGAGGCGCGCATTTTTTTTAGCGACCCTCCGAGTCGCCCCTCCCGTCGTGCTCCCGCTTAGGCCCCTCGTCGGCCCCCGCTTAGGCCCCTCGTCGGCCCCGCTTAGGCCCCTCGTCGGCCCCGCTTAGGCCCCTCGTCGGCCCCGCTTAGGCCCCTCGTCGGCCCCTGCTTAGGCCCCTCGTCGGCCCCGCGTACCCCTCGTCGGCCCCGCGTAGGCCCCGCGTACCCCTCGTCGGCCCCGCGTACCCCTCGTCGGCCCCGCGTAGGCCCCGCGTACCCCTCGTCGGCCCCACGTAGGCCCCGCGTAGGCCCCGCGTACCCCTCGTCGGCCCCGCGTAGGCCCCGCGTACCTCTCGTCGGCCCCGCGTAGGCCCCGCCCAGGCCCCGTCTCGGCCCCGTGTCGGCCCCGCTAGGCTCCGTCGGCCCCGCTTAGGCCCCTCCTCGGCCCCGCGTCGGCCCCACCTACGCCCTGTCGGCCCCGCGCTGGCCCCGCTTAGGCCCGCCACCGGCCCCTGCTACAGCCCGCCGCGTCGGCCCCGCCTACAGCCCGCCGGCCCGCCTAGGCCCCACTTCGGCCCCTCGTCGGCCCCACTACAGCCCGCACCGGCCCCTGCTACAGCCCGCCACCGGCCCTGCTACAGCCGCCACCGGCCCCTACTACAGCCCGCCGCCGGCCCTGCTACAGCCCGCCACCGGCCCTGCTACAGCCGCCACCGGCCCCTGCTACAGCCCGCCACCGGCCCTGCTACAACCCGCCACCGGCCCTGCTACAGCCGCCACCGGCCCCTGCTACAGCCCGCCGCCGGCCCTGCTACAGCCCGCCGCCGGCCCTGCTACAGCCCGCCACCGGCCCTGCTACAGCCCACCACCGGCCCTGCTGCAGCCCGCCGTGCTGCACGTGAGCAGCCCCAGCAGCCCACGCCGCCCGTGAGCCCCTACGCCACCCGAGCCGCGCGAGCCGCCCGAGCCGCCCGAGCCGCCCGAGCCGCCCGAGCCGCCCGAGCCGCCCGAGCCGCCTGAGCCACGAGAGCCACCTGAGGAGCCGTGCTGCTGTCCCTGAGCTGTGTTCCTCTGCTGCTGACCTACCCGACTCTTCCAGCCCGGTGAGACTTTCAGCTGCTGCCATGGCCACCCCCAATGTTCTTACTTTTGACGCTGAGGGGAGGGCCATTGACTTTGCCGTCTGGATTGAAGACCTGCAGCTGTACTTACTGTGTGATGCGATAGATGAGGTCTCTCTCTTTGACTTTGTCTCTGGAGCTGTCCCTGCCCCGCCTGCTGATGCTGACTCTGCCGTTCGCTCCAAGTGGGCGACCCGCGATGCTGCTGCACGTCTTGCTGTGCGTCGCCACCTCCCTTCCTCTGAGCGTGCCCACTTTAGTCAGTGCAAGACCGCTCAGGCCTTGTACGACGCTGTAGTTGCACGCTACTCCTCCCCTTCCTCCGCTACCCTTAGCCGCCTCATGCTACCGTTTCTCTTCCCTGACCTCGCTTCCTTTCCCACTGTCGCTGACCTCGTTACCCACCTCCGCGCTAGTGACGCTCGCTACCGCGCTGCCCTTCCTGCTGAGTTCCGCGCCGCAAACCCTCCTCCCATGTATATCACTCTCTACTTTCTCGTCACCCGTCTTCCTGAGTCCCTTCGTGTCGTTAGGGACCAGTTTCTCTCTGTCTGTCCCACCACCCTCACTGTCGACCTCCTTGAGGAGTCCCTGCTAGCGGCTGAGAAGAGTATAGTCGCTGTAGGGGCCTCTAGGGGTGACCCTCGCACCCCCATCTTTGAGGGGTGTTCTCCTTCCCCCCTGCTGCCCTCTGTCGCCTCTGCTGCTACGGCCGACCTCGCTGGTTTTGAGTCGGTTGGTGCGGCGTCTGCCCCCAGCGGCAGACGCCGCTCTGGCAAGGGCAAGGGGGGCAAGGGAGCGGGTGGATCTAGAGGAGGCAGTGGCGGAGGAGGTGGGGGTGGCGGGGGGAGTGGGGGTGGTGGTGGAGGTGGTGGCGGGAGTGGGGGTACCGGTGGAGGAGGTGGAGGCGGAGGTGGCGGCGGAGGCGGCAGCGGAGGAGGCGGGGGCGAGGGTACCGGTGGGGGCGGTGGCGGTGGAGACGGGGGTGGCGGTGGAGGCGGGAGTGGCGGTGGAGGCGGGAGTGGCGGTGGAGGCGGGAGTGGCGGAGGCGGCGGGGGTCGGAGTGGCTCGTCCCAGCGGAGCAGCTCTGGGGGTGGTCAGCGCCAGCAGCAGCAGCAGCAGCAGCAGCGGTCTCGCACCGTCCCCGCCCCTCAGCAGCTCCGTGAGTGGTACTTGCAGCGTCAGTGTGGTGGTGCGTTTGGTCCCTGCCCCTACGTTCTTCGCACCGGCGACCGTGCGGGGGAGAGGTGTGGAGGCACCCACACAGCCCGCCGCTGCTTTGGCCGCCTGACCGACGCC